AGCCTTGCCCAGTCTCCTTGGTTTCCTTTCCCTATTTCTGATGCCCATCCTCACATTTTGCTCTGAGACAAGGGTTTGCAGATTGAGTTTCTTGTGAAGCTTCTCCTTAGCTAATGGAACCCTGTAGTTCCAGGGGGCCAGAAATTCCTGGAGTTTACAGCTCCCAGGGGCAGCCCTAGGCAGAGTGTGAAACCTGGGGCCTTCCCTTGAGGTGGGAAAGGTGTACTGTAAGACCCAGAGCACCCCACAGGATCAGGCTAGCTCTGGGACATTTCCTGATACAATCCCCTGCTTGTCCAATTCCCCTTGCAGCTTGTCACTTCTCTCCTGCTTTCTCTAGGAAGCCACTCCTGAAGACATCTCTTCTCAGGGTCTGCTTCTGGGGAACCCAGCCTAGGACCCCACATGACTGGGCTCCAGCCAGTGGAATGTGAGCAGAAGGGCCACTCGCTGGTCTTGCCGTAGAAACCCACCTGGGCTCCTCCAGGGTCTTTCCTTTCTGGTTGATGGGAACAGAAATGGCTAGAAGGTCACCGTGGAAGACTGTTGGTGGCAGAGCCTCCAACAGCTGGATCTTTGAATTACCATATAGAAGAGAGATAAATGTGCCAACCAACAACACTACCCTTGCCTCTGAGGTGAAGGAGGAATACATCTTCACTGGGCAAGGCTACCGAATGGCATGTCAGCTAGTACCACCCATACTAAAATAGAACAGTGGCTTTATTCTAGCTCTCAGTGAGGTCTAGAGTGGATAAGAGACAATTGAGGAAAATCTTTTCCAATCTTTAGGTTGGTCCCAGGGAACCCAAACAAGTTGAGCTCATGAGCTTGGCAAATCTGTTGCAAAATGACAAAATTTAAGACCTCTTCTATCAAGGCCAGAATTCCCAGAAGACAACTGTACAAAAAGTCCCCAATATCTGGGATCCTGCTGAAAGGGGACCCTTCACAAATCAGTTCACAGAGTGCCCCCATAATAGGACCCACATTATTAAGATATAAACTATTCACAATTGTCCATTCTCCCTCTAGATTCTAAGGAAAAGTGGCTCTCGCTTTCTGAAAAGATTCCTAAGATCACTTTTGTTGTAGAGAAGCCAAATCATAGCTGAACCAGAGAAAACAGTAATAGACGTCAGAGAAGCAAAAACAACATTTATATAAAAGGACCAAGACAGTCTGGCTGGAAGATCAGGAAGAAAAACAGGAAAGCTATGTGGATTCCACGAGATAGGAAGTGAACAGAAGAAAAGAAAAAGGTTTGAGTAGGCATAACAGCCATCTGGGTAGAGGGTAGCAACAGATGCAGAGACCTGGGAAGAATTTTTATGATTTTTATGATGCATTCTCTGCGGTGAGCCTGGCCTCTATTTCTGGCATTCCCTGAAGAGACAGTGCAGACTTGAAATACTCGTAATTGATATTTGGTTCCTAGACTGTTCCTAAGAAAGTGATCCTTTGAGGGACCTGTACATTTAGGACCATAAGTGATCCTAGAATCACACTAGCTAGTTTCAGGAGTCTCCAGGATTCTGTAGCAAGAGTCCGGAACACTTTCATCCACTTCCATGCTTTACAACAGTGAAAATATCCCAGCCCCGATGAATTTCCTGAACCAATGTGATAAAACTTTGCCCCTACATTTCACCATCCTATCCTGCACTCCCTGGCTATCTGCTGGTCCCTCTAGCTCTTGCTTTAATTACCTACTTGTCAAGCTAACGGATACTGCATTTGATTGTAAACTCTTTGAGGACTGGTATTGTCTTTTTAACCTTAGGGCATCTGTTTTTTTATGCTCAATAAATGTAAAGATTTCTGTCTTGTGCCTAGCTTTCTTTCCAGCACCTTCAGATTATCTGATTTATGGTAGATGTTTGGTGAATGTTTGTCCAGGGACTGAATGAAAGAAAAAAAATCCATCAGTCCTATCAATCAAATCTGAGTTGATAGTCATCATAGTCTCTGGATAAGACAGCTCACAGCCTGCCTCATTACTACTCAGGTTTTTCTACAACATTCACCTTTACGAATTTTTTCTGTGCTTACACTCGGGACTCATCATAGACCCAGCCAAGCTCAGGAGAGGAAAGGCAAAGAGTGGGAAATGAAGTCAGAGCTAAAACACATTTCATCTACTTCCTGGGTTGCTATGAATGCCCCAGTGATAAATATCTTGTACCTTCATGCCAAGGGCAAATCTAGCATCTGCATGTTGGTTCAAGAATGTCCTCTCATGTAAAGCACAAAACATACGATGTCCACTCCTCTGATTACCAGCACCATAGCTTTGGTCAAGTAACATAACTTCTCTAAACCTCAGCTTCCCCGGCAGGCAAATGGGCATGACAATATCAACCATTCACGGAAGGTGTGTGATCATAGAGACGATCTACGTCAGCTCCCAACCCAACGCAGGTCATGGCTCAAAGAATGTTGCTTTCCTTCCTGGCTGATGACATTACACAAATAGAAATGGAAAGAAAGAAACCACATTTGATGTTTTCTGGATGTACAAAGAGGAAAGAGCTGTAGGTTTCCTCTTTCATGACCTTCAGTTTCATCTAAGGAAGAAATAGGGCCACGGGCCAACTCACGGGCCAAAACTATCTCCTCAGTAGCTCATTTCTTCAAGCAGAGATGAAGTGCTCCCAGGGCAGGAGATGGGAGACTGAGTCCTCTGGGTAGTTAATGTAATTGTCTCTAAGGACAAAGGTGAAATAATAGTTTCATCCATTTGTCTTAATTGAACAATTTATAATTGTGATTCCATCTGTAACAGAAAAGAAACACATTATTTCCACTATTTTTATTTCTTTTAAGAGAATGGTGGGGAAAATTTACCTAGCTAAAGAAAATCCCTTTTGTAGGACTAGGAAAGGACCAAACTAATTTTTGGTGATTTTCTTCCAATTGAGATATTTCTGATAATGCTGGACAAACTCTGATTTTGAAATGACCACCTCCCTGGGTGTTTTCTCATCACATCCCCAAATGCTACAGCAACAACCTCTTGAGAAATACCAATCTCATGCTTGAGTGAAGAATATAATTGTTACCCTAAAATTTTTTTTGGTGTGTTAAATTATATGGTATGTCAAAATATAGCATTCTCACCATGATACTTAAATTTTCATGGGTTTTTAAGTCTCTTTCATAATATTTAAATAGCTTGACTATGAGACTAAACCACTTAAAAGGAAATTTACTTACAGCATTTTTAGCCCCTCATGCAGACCCTAATTCAAAGGTCTGCTTTCTCTTTTAGAAACTCCTCATCTCTATTAGAAGGAAGGAGATGGGACCTGCATCGCAAATATAGATAGTTTTAATTCCAACTTTCTCTTGAATTAAATTATTTGGATATTATTTTGAAGAGAGGATAATCCAGAGACCAGAAGGACTTGGATATAATTACTCTCATCATTCAAGTCATTCTGCTAAGTCCTACCTAAACCACTGGCCTTTGAGAGTTGGTGAAAGAGGCATTTCAGAAAATCAAGACATGCAGAATATTATTTAATATTTTTTTTCCGCTCATGCATGGGCTCACACGATGGAAAAGGTCTATAGTTAATTTAGAGAACCAAAAACCTTTAAACCTGGAAGAAACACCGTGTTCAACATTTTTATAGAGCCTTACAACTTATAAAAATAAAAACATACAGGAACACTTAATCTTTTCATCACAATAATCACCATGTGAAACACGGATTCTGATCTCCATATTTACAGATGAGAAAGCAGAAACTCAGAGATGCAAACGTTTTGTGCAAGTTCGCACCATAGTAAGTGGCAGACCGGGCCGGACCCCAGATCGTCTAACTCCATGTCCTCAAGGTTCTCTCTGTAATGTCCATATGGGATGCCTTGAGGCTGAGAACCAGTGGTCTCAAAGCAATACCACCAATGGCAAGACAGTGTGCAGTACTGGGTTTTATCCTGTCTCAAGCTAAACATTACCATCAGTTCATGCCAATGCCTGCAACCCAATCCAGACAATTGTATCAGAATGTCTAAAGACTGGGTCTGGAAATAGGGTTGTTTTTTTTTTTTTTTTAAGTTTCCTAAATGACTCTGATGCTCAGCCAGAGTGGCACATCATTGTGCTAGACTGATTTTTGGACAATAGATCCTAGGCCTGTCTTCGTCACAGCAATGACCAGCAATTTGGCTAGGGGTGGTTGGTTTCAGAATTGTGTCTTCTAGGCCTAATATCACTTTGCAGCACAGAAACACTATGGATTCATATTGACCCTGAAGTGGCCAATGGAAGATTCAGGCATTTTCTATAATAAACTCTAATTGGTTTCACTTCTGATCTATATTTTTATGGGTGGGTATTTCAATTTAAATTTTGGTTGCTCATAAATAAAGGACCTTGAAGGAAAATGAAGTGAGGTTTCAGTCGAAAGGATAAGGCTAGATATGGGAGAGTTAGCTCAAGATTGGAATCCAAAAAGATAGAAAGCAAAGGGGTAGTCTGTACTTTTCTTTTTTTTTTTTTTCTTTTGAGGCAATTGTGAATGTCCTCCTAATTTCTCTCTCAACTCATTCATCCTTGGTATTTAGGAACACAATTGATTTATGGGTGTTAATTTTACTGAATTTTTTTTGAGTTATAGAAGTCTTCTGGTGAGTTTTTTTTTGGGTTTTCTAAATACAGGATCTTGTCATCACCAAATACAGATAGTTTGAGCTCTTCTTTTCCTATTTGTATCCCTTTAATTTCTTTCTTTTGCCTAATTGCTCTTGCTAGAGTTTCAAGGACTATGTTGAACAGAAGGCGTGAAAGAAGGCATTCCTGTCTTGTTCCAGTTTTTAAAGGGAATACTATCAGTTTTTCTCCATTTAGAATGATGTTGGCCTTGAGTTTAATGTACATAGCTTTAAAAATATTGAAGTATATTCCTACTATGCCTAGTTTATCTAATGTTTTGAACATGAATGGATGCTGTATTTTGTCAAATGCTTTTTGAACATTAAAGAAAGAAATTGGGGGCTGGGAATGTAGCTCAGTTGGTAGAGTGCTTGCCTTGCATGCACAAGGCCCTGGGATCAATCCCCAGAGCCTCCACCAAAAAAAAAGAAAAAGAAAAAGAAAGAAAGAAATTGAAGAAGACCTAAGGTCTAAGAAAATGGAAAGATTTCCTATGTTCTTAGATAGGAAGAATTAATATTGTCAAACTGGCCATACTACCCAAAATGCTATACAGATTCAATGTGATTCCAATTAAAATCCCATCATCATTCCTTATAGAAATAGAAAAAGCAATCGTGAAATTCATTTGGAAAAATAAGAGACCCAGAATAGCTAAAGCAATCCTTAGCAAGAAGAGTGAAGCAGGAAGCATCACAATACCAGAACTTCAACTATACTACAGAGCTATAGTAACAAAAATGGCATGGTATTGACACAAAAGCAGACAGGTACACCAATAGTACAGAACAGAAGACACAAAGACAAACCCACATAAATACAGTTATCTCATCCTAGACAAAGGCACTATAAGCACACATTGCAGAAAAGACAGCCTCTTCAACAAATGGTGCTAGGAAAACTGGAAATGCATATGTAGCAGAACGAAATTTAACCCCCATCTCTAGGCCCCACACTCCATCATGTCGGCTTAGGAACTGACTTCCTCAACAAGACTCCTAAAGCATAAGAAGTAAAAATCAAGAATCAATAAAGGGGATGGTATCAAACTAAGAAGCTTCTTTACCACAAAGGAAACAATCAAGAGCATGAAGAGAGAGCCTGCAGAATGGAAGAAAATCTTTGCCTCCTGAACCTTAGATGGAACATTAATCTCCAAGACATACAAAGGACTCCAAAATCTTAACATCATAAAAATATAAAATAACCCAATCAACAAATGGACAAAGGAAAAGAACAGGCACTTCACAGAAGAAATACAAATGGTATATGAAAAAAAAATGCTCATCATTTCTAGCAATCAGAGAAATGCAAATCAAAACTACTCTAAGATATCATCTCACTCCAGTCAGAATGGCAGCTATTATGAACACAAACAACAATAAGTGTTGGCAAGGATGTCAGGGAAAAAGGTACACTCATAAACTGCTAGTGGGAATGCAAATTGGTGCAGCTAATTTGGAAAGTAGTATGGAGATTCCTTGGAAATCTGGGAATGGAACCATCATTTGACCCAGCTATTCCTCTTCTCAGACTATACTCAAAGGACTTAAAAACAGCATACTATAGGAACACAGCCATATCAATGTTTATAGCAGCACAATTCACAATAGCTAAACTGTGGAGCCAACCTAGATGTCCTTCAGTGGATGAATGGATAAAAAATACGACATTTATACACAATGGAATATTACTCAGCATTAAAAAAGAACAAAATCATGGTATTCTCGGGTAAATGGATGGCGTTGGGGAAGATAATGCTAAATGAAGTCAGCCAATCCCCCAAAAAAACAAATGCCAAATGTTTTATCTGATATAAGAGGGTGATTCATAGTGGGGTAGGGAGGGAGAGCATGGGAAGATTAGATTAATTCTAGATAAGGAAGAGGGGTGGGAGGGAAAGGGGATTAGCAAGGATGGTGGAATGTGATGGTCATCATTATACAAAGTACATGTATGAAGACTTGAATTGGGTGTCAACATACCTTATATACAAACAAAGATATGAAAAATTGTGGTATATATGTGTATTAAGAATAGTAATGCAAAAAAAGTGCATGAATAATGGCATAAATTGATGTGAACATACTTTATATAGAGAGATAAGAAAAATTGTGCTCTATATGTGTAATAAGGATTGTAATGCATTCCACTGTTGTTGTATATTTAAAAAAATCAAATACATATATTAACCCAATCAACAAATGAGCAAAGGAAAAGAACAGGCACTTCACAGAAGAAATACAAATGGTCAACAAATATATTAAAAAATGTTCAACATCTCTAGCTATTAGAGAAATGCACATTAATGCTACACTGAGATTTCATTTCACTCCAATCAGAATGGCAATTATCAAGAATATGAGTAATAATAAATGTTAGCAAGGACGTGGGGGAAAAGGTACATTCATAAAATGCTGGTGGGATTGCAAATTGGTACAACCACTCTGGAAAGCAGTGTGGAGATTCCTCAGAATTCTAGGAATGGAATCACCATGTGATCCAGTTATCCTACTCCTTGGTGTATACCCAAAGGACTTAAAATCAGCATACTACGGTGACACAGCCACATCAATGTTTACAGCAGTTCAATTCACAATAGTTAAGCCATGAAACCAACCTCAGGATCCTCCAACAGATGAATGGATAAAGAAAATATTGTTTATATACACAATGGAATATTACTGAGCCATAAAAGTGATGGCTTTATGACATTTGCTAGTAAATTGACGGATTTGGAGACTCTAACACTAAGTGCAATAAGCCAATCCCCAAAAAACCAAAGGTGAAATGTTTTCTCTGATATATGAATGCTAACACACAAAAAGGGGGGCACAGAGAATAGAAGTTCAGTGATTAGAAAAGGAGAATGAAGGAAAGGGAAGGGAGATAGAAGTAGGAAAGACAGTGAAATTAATCTAATTTTCCTATGTACAAATATGGATACACCACAGTGAATCTCCACATCATGGACCTCCACAGGACTGGGATCCTAATTAGAATAAGACATACTTCATGCTTGTGTAAATATGTCAAAATATACTCTACCATCATGTATAACTGAAAAGAACAAATAAAATTTCTAAAAAGACAAATACAAGAAAAAGGAAAGAAAGCAAATGGATGACTTAGGGTCTTCAAAACAATGAATTAAGATAATCTGACAACTGTCAAGCTAACAGTTTTTAGAAATTCTAGATAACAACATCCTCTTAATTGAATAAAACAAGTTGCCTGTTTTGTTTGGGTTAAACAAACCAGCCTGCTACCTGTGCTTGAGTAGATGCACTTGCATATTTTCTCCCAAGGAAAACGGCACGAAGAAATATTCACCAGCCGGGAACACTGGTTATCTTGGCAGGGGACAGAGGCTTGGAGAAAGGCCGGAGTACAATTAGCTTTTCCTTTATATAGCCAGCAGGTGTTCTGTAATTTGAAAAACATAAAATAAATAAAATTGAATTAACTGATATATAAATTCACAACAGCCAAAAAATAAGAATTAAAACAGTAATTTATAATTTGCATTTTATGGTGACATAAATGTTGAAGGAAGTCATTGATACATTCTATAAACCTGAAATGGAGTTATCATTCTATACACATTGGTGTTTCCTGTTTCTTCTGAGACTTTAAAATTATATCTAATGTCCCTAGAGCTGTCCTGCTGAATTCATTAAATGGCCTTTACCCCTCCTACGAACCCACACATACACACACAAAAAGGTAATACGTAAATATTTAAAATAAACAACTGAGCTTAACAGAAATAAGGGAGACTCGTTAGAAGGCAGAACTGAAGCAGGAATTCTAAACCAGAAGGAGGGTAAGAGCTGCCAAGGAGCCAGACACTGTGGCACATGCCTGTAATCCCAGCAGCTCGAGAGGCTGAGGCAGGAGGATCGTGAGTTCAAGGCCAGCCTCAGCAAAAGTGAGGCACTAAGCAACTCAGTGAGACCCTGTCTTTAAATAAAATACAAAATAGGGCTGGGGATATGGCTCAGTGGTCCAGTGTCTCTGAGTTCAATCCCCAGTAACCACCCTGCCAAAAAAAGAAAAAGAAAAAAGGGGGGGGGCTGTCAAGGAAGGGCAGGCTAGGGCATGGGGTCCAGGCAGTCAGACCTCATGCCCATCAGTGGAGAGTGCTACTGAAGGAACTAGCAGAAGACACAATGTGGGGAGGTGAGGCGGGGGTGGAGGTGACCAAAAAAAGATAGAGAAATGCAAGAAGCAAGAGTGAAAAACGAAATTGGCAAATACAGAGACAAAACTAAGGATTGAATGTATGAAGAGCCGTCGTGAGGATGATGGCGGTGATGATGAATTCGCAGGTGTTAAAAAATGAAACAAATATTTTAGACAATAATTTCTAGCCAGATGAGAGGGATGATCAGAGTGAAGCATCCCTTAGGCTTTGAATCGTGTGGGAATAAAGGAAAACTTTGGTTACCTTTGGTATTAATGTCAAGAATAAAGATTACAATTTGCAGGGGAATGACGAACAAAAAATTAAGGATCCCAGTAAAAGTGGGGAAAAGCCATAAAGATGATTCATTTTGGTAGACTAAGGAAAGGAGGAAACAGCACAGTAAATCGAAGGCACGAACAATAAAATAAATACTAACATATCAACCAAAACAAAAAGTGTTCCTAGGCAAAGAGGGTGGTTCTAATTCAGGGAATTTCAAATTGGATTTTAAAGCTAACCCAGTTGGAAGATGTTTTATACATGACATACCTAACACACAAGGACTCAGAGAGTTGGGAAATGGAGCCATGTAAACAGATACCCCCCAGCAACCATGGAGGAAGCTGGGGTAGCTCCTTGGGAAACACCTTTGAAGGTAAAAACCATTAAAAATAAGAAGAATCATTATAAAAAATGATAAAAAGAAAAATATATTTTAAAAAAAACATTCTAAAACAAGACGCAAAACAGACACCATGAATAAAGTTATTAGCCTGGAAGAATATATTTACTACCCATACAACTGATAACTAGGATCCAAAATCAATGAGGAAAAGACAAACAGATAGCATAAAATAAAACAAAGAATACAAATAATTGAGTCACAGAAACAGAAACCCAAAGAATCAACACATATAAAAAAACAAAGCCAGCCTTGCTTGTAAGCAAACGAATGCAAAACAAAAAAGAAAAAAATCATAATTTGACACTCATTAGATCTGTAATTTTTAAAAAGTTTGGTAATGCCAAATAGTGTTGGGTATGTAGCAAATGTGAAGCCCAGACGTTGCTGACGGGGTGTAAACTGGTGGCTTCCCTTTGGAGAACAGTCTAGCAACGTTTAGCACACTTGGAGATATATATGCCGTGCACAGGGCAATCTACTTCTAGATATTCAGCCTGGAGCTATTCTGTAGCTGTGCCCAAGGACACATTCGGTGCTCAGTGC